AAGGAAAATTAAGACGATGGCATAGTAGTGTGGTATAATGTCATAAAGAGTTGACATAATGTAAAAGAAAGTTCACACGATGCAATAGTAGTGTGGTCTAATGTCATATAGAGTTGACATACATGTAATGCAAGGTTGACACAATGCAATAGTAGTGTGAGTAAATGTCATAAAGAGTTGACATAATGTAGTGTAAAGTTGACGCAATGCAGTTGTTGTGTTCTGCTATAAGGCAGTGACGGCGTTCCATAAATGCACCTTTTACAAATATTCAAGTTCAAACATATACTGTAATGCTGCACAATGTGAAAAACCTTATTGATAAACTGGTCTCGACATTTTTTGCAACAGCTTGAAAAATATTGTTTAAGGACGAATTTTTTTTTCATATCGTCAAAGTCTGCAATCCGATCTCTTTAAAACGGCTCCTTTGAAATTTTTTTTCAATGAAATAAAATTTATAAGCATTTTAAATCACATGATCCAATTCATTATAGCACTTTTATAGGGTAGTGTTAAACTTTTACTTTAAAAAAATAGAAGACGAATCTTTTTTTTTTTTTTCATTCAATTTCAAACGACTTCAATTGTTCAATTTTTTTCTTGTGCATTACTATTTGTGCCTTCCACAAAAGGTTGTTGGTTTGCCATATATATACACTTTCTGTTCAAAAACATGTCTTTTTAACCATCATAAATAGTGAATATTACTACCCTTTTCCATATCACATCCTGTGCCTTATCAGCCAGAGGGCCCACAAAAGGTAGACATGTTGGTTTGCCATATATATACACTTTCTGTACATAGTCTAATGTCTTTGGGTTTGTTTCACTAAACATTGAGTAGAAATTAAATTTCAAAAAGTTATTATACTGTTATTGTGGTTTTATTTACTAAGGGTGTGAGTTAACCATCATAAAACAGTATAAAACAGTATATATATGTATCACCTTTTTGGTTTAACCATTTGCACTCAGTGGCGGTTGTTAGTGGTGTTGTTGGAGGGTGTGTGTGAAATATATGGAGATAATGGAGATAACAGTGTTCAAGCTCAAAAGTCCATTAAACAATGCAAAATAGGAGCAGAGCAAAAACATCAGAGGTGGGATAAGCGCCATGGAGGAGCTAAAACGAACTAAACTGTCTGCCTTCGGTCTAACGGCCTCAGGCAGACAGTTTGTAAAAAACGCATGTTGCCCTCGAACTCGGTCAATAAATGTATATTGGTTCATGAGTAAGGGAATTTGACGATTGAAAAGTTTAAGTCATCTCGTTTGTCATAAAGTTTGTTTTTTAGAATAGCCAGTTCTCAAGTAAAATATCTATGAAACAGATGTGTGGCGGTTGTTAGTGGTGTTTTTATGTCAAACTCACTGGGATAACATAAGAATGTGTGTGTGAAATATATTTAGTCAGAATAGCAAGTAAATGACTATCATGGTTAGTAATTGTAAACATAATTAGTAAGAAGGATGAATTCATTTACTTATAAAATGATTTACTAAGTATCAATAGAATTACTTAAATTATAGGAATTGTATTACTTAAAGTTAGTAAAAGAACTACTCATTATTGTTAAATTATTATTACTTAATTTAGAGATAATATGATTTCTATTTACTAAATTTTATGAATTATTACTAAGTAAATGTAATTCTGAAATTAATCAAAATCTATAATATTATTACTCAAAATAATACTAAGTAAATGAAATACTTATCATATTTACTAAAATCGACATTATTTACTAGAAACACTGCAAACGTCATGAGGTTCCCTAACTGGGCCCTCTGAATAGTTTAATAGAAGAAATCTACTCATGATGGAAACAATTATACTTTCTATTTCTTTTGCCAATTTCTTTGTAATTGTTTTATTATATATAACAATAAAACATTTAATTCCAACTTCGAAAGCCTTAAAAATTGATAAGTTGTATCTTTTTAAGGACCATTTTAAAAATGGTTAAACATTTCAAGTACTTAATGTCGCATTTTTATTAGTGTGACTTTTTTTTCACATGAAGGAATATTTAGAAGAAAGATAACTCCTCCTCACAGACAATTAGTGATTAGACTACCATATTTAAGTAATTACTGATCTGAATTCTAGATTTAGTAAATAAATTTTTGTTTTAAGTAAATCAATTAAATACAATTCAAACGAGATGTGTTTGTGAAACACCTATGCCCCTGTATGGCAACATTTCAAAGGTTAAACTTTTCTTAAATGCAAATTTAAATTATTGGGATTTCTTGATATCTCCAAGGTCAAAAGGTCAAGGTTATTGGTATCTAATGAAAGGTCTTGCCAAAAAAAATACATATGTGAAATATGGAAACACTTGCCTTAACCCTTCAGAAGTTATGGTCAAGGTTACCAATTTTGAAATGTAGCCCCAAGGTCAAAGACAAAGGGACAGATTTGGTGGTACAAAGAATACAAGGATGAACTATGTATATGAATGCACTAACCCTAATCCTTTTAAAGTTAGAGTCAAGGTTTGCTTTTAAAAGTGGGTCAAACTCCAAGGTCAAGGTCAAAGGGTCAAAGTTCTTGGTATCCTATGAATGGTCTTCTCAAAATGATTACATATATGTAAGTATGAAAGCACTATTCCTTACCGTTCAAACGTTATGGCCAAGGTTAAAGTTTTTTTCACAAGGATGGAAATCCCCATGGTCAAGGTCAAAATTTCATAGTTGTTGGTATTCAATGAGTTCTTTCAACAAAAAATATATATGTGAAGTATACATGTCCTGGTATTTACTGTTCAAAAGATTTGGATAAAGAATAAGTTTATTTTTTGTGTAATATGAAACTTCAAGGTCAAGGTCAAATTTGTGTCTCAGACTTGTCACAAGGAATACACGTGTGAAATATGAAAGTCATAGCTTAAATCAAAAGTTATGGGCAAGGTAAAAGTTTCTGTGGATAAACAGACAAACAGAGAGACAGCTCACTATATACGGGATTAAAATATTAATTATATAGTAAATAGTGGTAAAATGTAAGTAAAGACCAAGTAATGTTATTACTTATATACACAAATTTAAGTAAATATAAATTACTAAGTAAAACTTTTTAGTGTGTAAGTAAAACAATTCTTTAAAATACAAAAATCAAGTAAAACATTTGAATCTAGTAAATGACATATATTTCAGTAATTGATTTAAAATTTTAAGTAAATGCTTAGTAATTATCTATTACTTATCTTTGTTATTTCAAGTAAAAAATGACTACTAAGTAAAACTTTTTTAAGAGTGTAAATGTAGAGTTGAAGGCGACAGCAAGTGTTTTCTTCTTTTCACGTATAAAATGTTGGACAAAATCTGCTTAATATGAATACAAAAAGGTCTGCTAATAACGGGGCGCATTTGGTACCAATGCATGGGATTCCAATGGATTGTTGGAAGACCTGGTCTCAAAAAACACACAGAAACTCAGCACCTTTTTCAACTTCAGAGTACTTGTGTGTACAATCAGAATTTTTTTAACATAGTAATTTTGGAAATGACAAAGTAAGTAAATTTACGAGTTCCATTTTATTGAAAAAGCAGTTGTCGATGGTATCAAAACACCTGGGGTCTCAGTTCAGAATAATGAATCCAGAGTGTGATTCACATCGGCATAACTCATTATCATTCTTTTAAGCATACTGTACTATCTCCAGCGACTGATAATACTCTTAAGATGTCCCTTATATAGAAGTATAATATGATAACGTTTTATTTAGAAAACGCAATTGATATAAATATCCGTTTTTGAAAAACCGAAAGAATATTTGGTCACCTGATCCCACCTCTGATGTTTTGGAGGTCCAACCTTTTTCTTGATTATCAGAAGCCCTCCTTGAATGGGGAATATCCCTTCAATTAAACACACTTGAACTAAACACACTTGAACTCCCTTTGTCCAAGAGTATTCTATACTGTAGATCACTACAGAGACACCTAAATGCAAAATAGTTGTTTGTTATTTCTAGGCGAGTCAGCATTTTCGTGAGCTGTACCCTATAAATAAATAATATTTTATATTGTACAATATATGGAAAAAAGTAAAATTATTTCTTTTCCCACTGATCGCCATCATACCAGTATATCTCCTTTGGCAGTTCTCTGTTTCTTTCTCCTTTAGTGGAGTCTATCTTAAAGCTACTCTTGCTTTAAAATCTGATGTTACTGTTCTCAGTTCAAGGGCACTCAATTTCTATCGTTTCATTTAAAATCATATTAACCCGCTGTTCGTACTCTTGTATTTTTCAGATTGTTGTTTGTCAGCTTTCATGAATATGCAGATCCAATAACATTTGTTTTGAAAATCATTTTGGTTTTGATTCTTTTTTTTGATTGGTTTTGATTCTGACAAATGATTGTTTGATTGATTGTATGTTGTTTTAAGTCCCATTCAAAAATTTTTCACTCATATAGAGATGTCACCGTTCTCTGGTGAAAGACTTCAAATTTTAATCTTTACTCAGCACCTCGGACCACTGAGCATTGAGGGTTCTTTATCGTGCAGACGTGTGACTTGACACGGAGCCTCAATTTTTAAGGTCTCATCCGAAGAACCCGCAACTTTCACCTCAGAGTGCCTAGCGCTTAGAGAAGGAACATTTGCTATACCTATTTTTATCGACTTACGTCAGTCGCGGCCGAGATTCGAATTCACGACCTCCCGATCACGGAGCGAGTGCTATACCGACTGAGCTAACTTGACGATTCTGAAAATTGAAGCGTTTTAGATGTTCCGTAGGGTTGAAAAAATGACATTGTTTTAACTTTCCGTCAACTTTTTCATTCAAGTTCCAAAATCCATGATTGTGTACGAGTATTTATTTAAAAGAAACTCCAATTTACAAACTGAGAATGAAAATGCATAGTTTCTGCATTATACTTCCTAATTCATAGATCTAGTTATCGGAACTTTTTACACTACCCGACTTTGGCAGTGAAAAAGGCATAGATAGATAAATTAAATGTTTTAACGTACAAATATATTAATATTCCAAGTTGAACACAAGCACTCTGTTCAGATATCCACAGAAAATATGATTTTCTGAGTCTAAACACAACCCCTGACAATTTAAGTTCCCTGAAGGTGCAAGCGTAATAAGGTAAGCGAGAAACAGCCCTTTTCTATTCAGTAAATGAACACGACGTTCAGCACCGTCCATAACCAAAATGTTACCGTTTCTGTCACAGGAAATTCCCCCTGGACAAAACAACGCCTGTGAAGTTCCAGTATAAGAAAATCGCCTTTTCCCATTTTTCTTAACCACTACCAATGCTCCTGTAACTGGAGAACTCCAGTCAGAAACACAGATATCCCCATTGCCTCTCTCCGTAATATATCGAGGATCGTGAAAGATGGGTTGCCTCTTACTGTCACTGTCTGATGGGATTTTCCGAATTTCCCATTCTTTTATCGTGTAACGGGAAATTCTGGCTTCCTCGTTTAATTTCTCCCCTATCAAAAAATCTTTACTTATTTGAGAGTAAAATATGCAACATGGCGTCCAGTCGTTTGCGTTGAACGCAATTCGTCTTATTGTTCTTCCTTTTGGATTCAGTTCTCCTACAGTTTTGGTTGTCACATCTACAAATACTAAAATGTCATCTTCTCTTACTGTATGAATTCCGTACCCCTCAAGTGCATTAATTTTTTTCTCCTCCAATTCATTTCCGTCATTGTCAATAAGGAATATTTTGCCAAACTGATTGCTGACCCAAAATGATCCAGATGAGAGGCAAGAAATATGGCGGCTTCTGCCAGCACTCATAACAGACAAGTCTTTTTCTTGTTGTGCCATTGGTATGCGTTTGTCTTTCTTAGGCCGTCGATCCCTTTTCTGCTCGCATGGTTTCTCAGCTTTGCGGTCTAAATTCCCATTGCATCGGAAACAAGTAGCACCAATACTTTTTCTGATATATTCTGGCAAATTTTCTTGAAAGTCATAACTGCATGGACTCTTCTATTTCAACATTAAGATGGCAGCATTCAGTACATATTAATTTGTCACATATCTCACAAGAACATACAGAATCGCCGAAACAATAGGCGCACTTAATGGGACACTGGGCTTCAGCCATATTGACAGGAAAAAAACGTAAGAATAGTCCGAAATTTTCAAGAATATACGCTTCTCAAATATTTTCAAACATGTAAACGTACACACAACTTGAATAACTTGCTTATTGATAAACTTGTTGTTGTATAACCTGGCATGCTGTTTAGCAACAGTTTGAAAGACGGTAAGACACTATAACATTTTAAACTTGTAGGTGTCCATTTGTTTCGCCGATTATATCTCAAGATCAGCTGAACAGAGTTTGCAAACCTTCTTTTAAAGGCAACATTGTACCGATCATAAATATGTAACTTCTCAATTGTTTATTGGTAACCATCACAACTCCCATTCAATGACATGTTACGGTTTTACTATTAGGGTTTGAGGTATTGTTAGGAAAAGAAGAATTAAATTATCTTAAGTCTTATCTATATTGTTTATATTGTTCTTCCCTTATTTAATTTGTATTCTTTCAATGGACTTTTGGGCTTCAGTAATTTCGTTATTTTCACATTTCAACAAACACGAAAACAGATAGGTCACTATATAAACTTGGATAGCATAATATTATCTGTCTCCCTAATCAGTTCTGTTTCTCAAAATATAATTTCATTTTTCCCCTTTCATCAGAAATTTTTATTTTTTCTTTATATCCCATATCATTATTTTTTAAAAACCTTCCAAGACCTTTTCAGATACTGTAAATGTATTATTTTTAAATTTAGCGACACTTCTCTGCGGTAATGGATTTTTTTAAGGAGTTAGCGTTGATTAGCGTGTACTTGAATAAGTGGATGTTAAGGAAGCCTAAACACTAACAAATAGTGATTTTTGGACTTCTAGAAAAATATATCATATATAGGTGTGCATATGGAGACTATTTAATTCATTTTCAACAAAGGCACCTCCCTTGACTCTGCAGGAAATTTTTTTAAAAACAATGGACTATGTGTGAACAGAAACACTGTTGATTACTTACATTTATTTTGTGAAAATTAATGAAAATAATGAATTTAATTATTTATTCTTGGTCTAATATAATTCTAAGCATATTTTAGACTATTACAAATTGTGTAATAAATTATAAATAACTTTTTTCTATCTCACATCCTAGGGCGGAGCATAAAACTACCCTTTTAATAAGCAGTCTTTGGTGTGCTGTGTTTAGAGCTTCCTGAGAAATTCTAAGTTAGAATACACAGCGATATACGTAATATATTTACAGTAAATCTAAAAAAAATGAAATATTCATATTCATTAAAAGATTGTGAGAATGTATTATAAAACGTTTTCTACAGATGGAGTGCAAGAGATGATACACGCGCACGCGGAAAAATCAACATAATAAGCTAAAAATTCGAGGGAAAAAGATGTCAGGAAAACGTGAACTCGACGCATGATTGTTTAAATGTTTCTTGAAAGTATCTTGATTAGAATGTAACTTAAATTTTGGGATATGATATCTTAAGCTGTCAACTATAATTTGGCAAAGAAAACATTCATAAATTTTAGTTTTAAAATTTGATCATTTTATTATATCTTTCTCTTCTTCTAAAGGAAATCAAAATAGTCTAAAAAATAAATAAATATGATAGATAAAATAGAATTAAAACAATTACACAGTCTTGCCTATGAAGGAACTAGAGGTACTTTGAGCAATGAAATACCTTAATAATACCCCCGCCTCCCATATGGTTATAATGGCAAAGTCCATGTTTTGCTCTGGGAAACTCGAAATAAGTGTCAGATCAAAAAGTAAAATAGGAGATGCACAATGGCATTTTGTAATGAAGATTCTGTGAAAATACCATTAAATCTTATTCAGTTGTATAGGAGGAGTTGCGGATAAGAGATTGGTACACTTCAATATTATGGAAAAAATGACCGCGCCCATGTTTTGCTCTGGGAAACCCAACATATATGTCCGATCAAAAAGTAAAATAGGAGGGCACAATGGCACTATGTACTAGTATTATCAAAGCTTCTGTGAAAGTTTCATTAAATTTTATTCATTGGTAAAAGAGGAGTTGCGGATACCCCTCACGCTTTTCAAGTGGGGGGGGGGGGTGTATACTCTACATAACTAGAGGTAATGTGAGCACCGAGCTGTGCACAATGACATTGTGTAATAAAGAATGTGTGAAAGTATCGCAGCTCCTCCTATACCACTGAATGAAATTTAATGATGCTTTCACAAATTCTGTATTATCTTGCCAGTTTTGATTTCAATTCTGAATTTTTGTTTGAAAATATATACTTTTTTAGGTTACTTATTCTAGTGTTTGTTTAAAGCTTCCAAGCACGTTTTTTGATTAATTTACGAATAAATTTTGATATAAAAATGATTTATTAACAACCATTGTCATACAGTATTATATACATTTATTCAATAAAAATATGATTTAACCATTACTAATACAAATGTAAATCACATAAAACATGACAAAAATATATCATATACATGTATTGCATATAAATGTTCAGGTAGGTTAAATATCACAGCAATTAATCACCTTATACTTACTACATAGAAATTGAAAATAAAATCAATGTTCGATTTAAAAATAATTTCACTTTCTATGCAAGACTTGTAAAAAAAAATTGAGGGCAAAGTCATGCTTAAAAATTTACTGTGAAATCACTAATTTTCACGGGGGGGGTTTAATTTTCGTTGTTTTCGAGGCATGAAGAGACCCACGAATTTATGTCCACCACGAAATGTAAATTGTCATATACATAACTATTCAATAGTTCTTCATCCACGAAATTAAATCCCCACGAACCCATATTATTTCCTCAAACCATGAAAATTTGACCCCACGATAATACATGTATGTGATTTTACAGTAATTTACTTGGTTGCAGTCAATACAAAATTTATAACAAAACAGTAACATCGTATAAATATTGGCCTTCCAATCATTAATGACATCAACATATTTATTGTAAAAATAGTTAAAATTTTAAGTGGTGCATTGTGCTTCATAAAGAAATGTAAGATTTTTGTCTTTGAATAAATGCCATGGTTGCAAATATAAGTTTAAAAACAGTATTTGTTCTTTCCTTCAATGCTCTCCTTTGTATTTAACGAAGAAATATCTTATAAAAATTTAAGGATAACATTAATTTGGATTTTTGCAGTGGGTACATTGTTATAGACTACCACACAGAACACTTGTTAGCTGCGTTCATAAAACTCGAGGCTGGGCAGTTAAACGCTCTCGAGAAATCTTCAGAGTTCTGTAATGTACCAATCACTCTGTTAAAAGAAAAAGAGAATGATGCATGAATTATCACAGGGTTTTGACACAATTGGTGCTAAATTAGGAGAGTAGGGACCAAACATATCGCCATTAGATCCTTGGTAGCTATGGCTTGCTCCAAACTTTCATAACATCACGATTTATACGGAAATGTATAAGAAGTTTTTTCTTGTCAAAATCTAGCAAAACGTTCTAATTTGATTTTAAAAAGTCCTCTCTAAATGTCTATAATGTTATTTGAAATTGACTCAGTGCAAAACTTTAAATTGATTAATTAAGATTTTTCACATGAAAAAGACGTTAATGGTTATTTAACAACCAAAATCTATGATAACCGTGATGACGAACTTTTCTATCGTCAACTTCCCTTATCTATGCAGCAATATACCTTCATCACCTACATACGGAGTTAACATATCTCAGTTGATTAGATACGCAAGAGCATGCTCTATGAACAATGTCAAAAGCGAAGTAAATTATTGACAAACAAGTTGATGAAACAAGAATATCATCAGTCTCGTTTAAAGTCATCGATCTTTTCGTACGTTCTATGGTCGATACAATGACCTTGTCAACAAATACAATTTACCATTGAGTTAAATGCTGATTGAAGTTTTTCATACTTATTATTACTGCATTATTTATACACTGAATTGACGACGGACTTTACCTTTTTTCCGATCAATGACAGGGAGCACACGGCGGGTGTGACCGGTCGGCAGGGGATGCTAACTCCTCCATGGCACCTGATCCCACCTCTGATGTTTTGGAGGTCCGCGTTTGCTCCGCTCCTGTTTTGTATTGTTTTATGGATTTTGATCTTGAGTGCTGTTCGTTATCTCCATATGTTTCATCTAATATAAAGCCGATAAGTTTGAATTTGATCTTTCTCTAAAAGGACACTGAATAGCCAATTAAATAATGTAAAGCTGTAGTGTAATTTAAAAATTAAGTTTCCAAAACAGAACAGTTGTCATTTTCGAAAGAGTCTGATGGTTGGCAAAAATAGAAAAGATTAAGTTGTGAATAAAAACAATATGGGAAGGGTTAAAATTGAGTATACATATCTCTGAAGTTAGGTTCACAATTTATATATCAAACAAGGATAGTCTTCCGCCTTTTGGCCAAGAAAATTCTTTAAAAACTTTTATTTAGTAAAGATTTAGAGTTATCTTTCTTGCACCTTACCTGAATCTACCTGGACTGTGCACACCTGTCAGGATACGGTTTATAGCTGACTCTCGACGCATGTTTCCGCACCAAACCTTTTAGGCAACAAAATAAAAAAAAACATAATGCATTGTAGGATAACTTCCTGTACACCCCCTACTTATATCCTTCGAAAACTTGAACAAAAGTCTTTATGAAGAACAGTATGCTTTTAGAAACATCTTTGGCGTCTTGCAGCGAAAGCTCATCATCGCACTAACATCATCGCCTACAACATTCGCTGTTTTAAGTCTGCTGTTTTAAAGGTCAGTGGAAGAATCTGATAATTACCAAAATGATTAATGATATTTGACTCTTTAATTCTGATGAAAAGTTCATTTTTGTGCACCTGCGTTATGAATTTACAGTGTTCCATGTTACGATGATCTGGAAAATCCTGAAGCATTTCTCCCTACAAACAGCTACATTTACGAATATTATACAGGTCTCATCAAAACGAGATTTAAAATGTGTACGTCCGTACTCTAAAAATTGAAATCCCCAGAAGAAAGATAGATATCCATGTAATAATAACCCTGCCGATTATAAAAAGATTATTAAACTGTTTACTTTATCACTAACTGATATTTTTTGGTAGTGAGACATGATATTCACCTGAGCAAAGTTAATGAAGAATATTTGGTCGTGTGTGTACTTGACCCCCGGTAACTGTTCCTCCTCCCTTCCTCTTGTTTCCACCCATCTTCTGTAGGCCTACAGATTAACAGTCTTCATATATCAGGTCATTATGACAGTTATACATGTATAGAGTATTTTTAAGAAAGAAATAGCTACTTAAATGATTGCCAAATCCTAAATTTTGCAAATGTGCTTTGAAATCTAATACATCGTATTATTCATCATCTTCGAATTGCTGATAGAATAGTTTTGGGTCAAAAAGACTTCAATGTAAAAATGTTGAAAAAGTAATAAATTAAAAATCTTCCCATTTTTATCTATTTTCAAAGTTATTTGGTATATGTTTAATAGTCAAAAATTTAAAGCTTTAATTTTTTACGACTTCTTCATTGGCGAAGAGACATTCAGTAGGTACATGTATATTTCCTTGTATTGCATACACCAGTTATCTTACTCGATAGCTTTCCTTTAATCCTCCATTATCTGCAATGTTTTCTCCGAGAGTATTGATACCATTCATCTAAAACCATGAAAAGGAAAATAATTAAAAAATGTTGTTATTTTGGAGCAGTCAATGCAAAAATGAAATAAAACATTAATTTGGTGGAGGACCTGACCTTCATCCCGTCAGCCTCAGGGACGGAGAAGTTACCGTACTGGTCAACCAGACATTGAGCCTGCTTCTTAAATGTCTGTATCACTTCATCCGTCCACCATTGCTTGAGATTGCCATTTTTGTCATATTGACGTCCTTCAAAATAATTGTAAAGTTTAGATTTTAGATGTCCTCACAAGAGATTTGGAAAGAAAGTATTAAATTTTTATATTCTTTATAAGATTCTATACCTCTGTCATCAAAGCCGTGGGTGATCTCGTGTCCAATAACCACACCGATACCTCCATAATTCATAGATCTAAATAAAAGAAACAATCAAAAGCAATACCAAGATATATTAATGAATTAGAATTAGAATTAAAAAAAAAAGTTTCAAGTAGGTCACATCATCCGTGTGTTTATAATATATTCTAAATGCTTTAACACATTTCGCAAAATACTAGTATGGCAATTTCATGTCCAAAATTTACTCACTTGCTTTGAAAACTACTCACTTGGTCTGTGAACTTGAAAAGAATGGAGGCTGCAAAATTCCAGCTGGAAACACTGTAATAGATATTAGGCATTTACAATTTTTAATGGTATAGTTGTTTTTCTGGTTGAATGCGATACTGTTTTTAATGTTGATAAAACTTAAATGAATGCAATGAAGTATAGAGGTGGTATTTTGAAATTGTAAGCAAATTCTGATATTTATCGTAGTATTACGAATTTCACGCCAAACATGAAATTAAACCTTTTTTTCATGTGACATGAATGCTTTAGTCATTTTCATTTGTATGCACCTTTTTCTCAGAAAATTAAGAAGATATGTTACTTTGTTTATCAATTTATTAACAATCTATTATTTGCAACTGGAAAGAAGTGAAATTGAAGTGCTTCTTTTCACCATCACCTATCTTCCCCTTTCCTTGTGATATAGACCCCGGTAAGGAACAGAGGGTTTCTATTCATTACTACTGCCTGCTTTGATTCTGCTTTATTCTACGACCGCCAACCAGTATCAGCCCATTGGCTAGCAACATATACATATACTGTGGAAGTTTGGAGGGAGGGGTGATTGCAAAAAGCGTCTGTCTTTGCCAGACAAAACATCTCCGTAAAAGAGCCATCAGTCATGTGATCCACATACCTTTCCACAGGTGCTCAGGTGCTAGATGCAAGTTGGGTAAGGCCCCAGGGAGAACCACAAGGTTTCGAGGGACATTAAACCTCCATGTTAGATGCATTGTATGCATGGTCAACCAATTTGTAAACAGGCCATAATGCCTGCAAATTTAGACCAAATCTTTGATTTAAATAGAGCGCAAGATATGAACCATGGTGCCAGAGGTAGGTGCGATTTCTTTTGTTAAAAGTGTGGGTTATCTGTACATGATACGAACAAAAACTTGATAACTTGATGGAATCTTTAGTACAGATGACCTTTACTTTACCGAATATTTATACTTTGTGAATTGTACTTTGAATGCCATTCATTCTTGTAAAGATAAGGAAGTTTGAAAATATTATTCAAAACAATTTTAACTGCGTCTTACACATGTATTAACAAGGGTCGTTGACTTTTTGCTCAATAAGTCAGCTTTAAAATGAAAAAGAAGACAATAATCTTTGTCATCGGATACAGAATTCCTATCCTTTATATTCATATCATGAGATCGTGTTCTTATTCCCATTTCTAAATTTTGTGAAGTGAAACTTTAAAAAAAAATCTAAGACGCAGTTAAGATTATATATCTAGGAGATACAAATAGTCCTTTCTTCTAATGTTGAAAATATAAAAATATTACGTCGTTCGCACAAAAAGTATGTTGTTGAAATATGATATGTCGGTCGAAGGACTAATGCGAAGATTTTGTAATGTAATGAAAATAGAAAAAAAAAACAATTTTGATCTTATCACAAACAAATAAAAAAATAAATAAACAAATCCGGTAACAGGGGATAAAATTCAGACCTATAGAAATTCCAGATGATCTAGAACGAGTATTTGTTTACAAATTTACTTTGTAGAAATTTTCCAAGTCCCATATCTATGGAAAAAAACCCAGCTTTGATATTAAAAATCATCCTTTTGGTTCCGTCTGTAAGAACATCCAAATTTTGCGTTGATGTCAAAATTTAATAATGCAAGCTTTAATTATTGAAGGATCAAATATATTAACCTATTTACTATCTGAAAGAGGAGTACAAGTTTTTCTTTACCCCTAAAAAAAGCAGATACTCGTAGAATTTTTATACGGAATAATAAAGGCAAATATACGCTATATTTACAAATAAAAACTCGAGATCCGGTGTCACGGTTAGCATTTGCAGGATAAAGATGATCACTAATCAAGAACACTGAATGCCGAGAGAAGAATCAAATAACAGAAGCCCTTAAAATTCTGTTATACTTTTTTAAACTGAATACTAATATCTTCTTCTTGAGCTCCCACTGTGGGACGTGGAGACCGGTCCTTCGGATAGATAGGCCGTATAAACCGAGGTCCCGTGTCGCAATAGGTGCTGGCACGAAAAAGATCCCTCACTGCTCAATGGCCCTAAGTGCATAGTATAGGAGAAAATTTGCTAGCTCTCCATCGGCAAGTGGTGGCGTCTCCATATGAGTGAAAAATTCTCGAGTGAGACGTTAAACAATATACAACCAATCAGTCAATCTTTTTACAAGAGCTTTTTTATATTGACTTACTGATTCGATTAAGAACACTGTTGTAATAAGCATTTACTGTGGCGGGAGCCGTACCCCACCTGTTAAAAAAATAACAAAAATAAATTAATGACATAAACACAATGCACTAAGTACCAGAATGACAGTAAAGAATGTTTTGTAATACTCACTCATTTTTGTCGACTTCAAATCGAAGATAGCGCAGGGAGTCGATCGTTGACCTTCTCAAATTTGACAGGACATTTTCAAAATACGTATCTGCCTCTGCTGTATACTGTAAATATTATCTTTTTAATATAAGGCATCATTGAAACATCTCATTTTGCATAAATCCTCATTAAAACAGGTATCCATGAATAGAACTTATTAAACACCTATTAAACACTCACATTTTCGTAGTATTCGTCTAACGCTGTCTTATTTAAGATGAAGTCTTGATATCCAATCTTTTCTTGAATAAATTTCGCCTTAACGAAATTAAGAAATGTTTTTAAAGGAACAGTATAACTTATTGCCATCAATAAACGAACAAAAACACTAAAATTAAAAGAAATCTTGTAAGAACTAAATAAATTTTTCATAAAGGAAGTTCGTTTTGTTCTTCAAACAATCTTATAGGTAAAATAACAAGAGGCCCACGGGCCTTATAGGTCACCTGAGCATTCTGCAACAACTTTCCAGTTATTGAATTTGATTCATGTTTTAAGCCAGATGCTATATGGCATTCACAATTTTGAAAGAAGCACCATTGATCATCATAACAATACACTTAGCAGTTGCTTAGCTTGATTGATTTGAAAATGTCCAATAATAAGTTCATAGGATCTTCATGAATAAAATTCATGAAAAATTCAAATCACCTCGCAGGGGTACTGAATACCCATACACAAGGTAGGGAAACAAAAAAAGCTTTCCAACTAATCAGTAATATTCAGCAATAATCAGTAGTGCCCCTAACACTGTGTAATAAACCCATGACCCTAGGTCCACACATTGCACAAATTTTAAAAAGGCACCCTTAAAATTGCCTATCAAAAAATAAATAAATGTTTTATAAATACAAAGGAGCAGATTTCAAACAATTTATTTATTTTCAGTATATAAGTAGAGATAAGTTTTCAAAGAATTCATGTATTTTTACAATATAATCTATTTGACCCTGGGACCATAAAATTCACAATTTTGGTAGAGGCACTCTTGCTCAATAACTATGCACTTAGTTAGTTTATTTAATACCTAAGAGCAGAGAAGAAGATTTTCAAAGAATTTGTGTATTTTCAAAATATAATCAAAAGAGCCCCGCCCTAACACCAGAACCCCTGACCCTGGGACCATAAAATTCACAATTTTGGTAGAGGCACTCATGCTTATCATAACTATGCACTTAGTTAATTTAATATCTAGGAGAAGAGAAGAAGATTTTCAAAGAATTCATGTTTTTAGAAGTATAACAATTTTGATATCTGCTCATCATAAACTATGCAAAAATTTATTTGATACCCAGGGGCAAGAAGAAGATTTTCAAAGAAATCATGTAACAATTTTGGTAGAGGCTCTATAAATTTTTCCCTGCCCTAGCAAGAACCCTTGAGGAAGTTCGTTTTGTTCTTCAAACAATCTTATAGGTAAAATGAAAATGTATGCCTTTTCTTTAGCTAGTCCTCTTGTTGTATCATCCATCCATGTGTTTTCATCCACAAGTTCTCCAAAGGCTGCTCTCAAATTATGGATCATATCCAAGGTCTGGAAAAATATGTAATCAGTGTCTGACTCATTCACACATTGATGAAAAAAAAAATATTGATTTCATTCAGGAGATGATGAAAATTTCTATGACGATCAGCACAAGTCCGATGAGTTTTAGTATTATTGTTTCTTTCAAAACCATGTTGAAAAGAATTTGCATTACCTCTTGCTTTGCATTTTCATCGAAGGCTTCCTTTACAAAAAGACGGCCCAGGGATAGACCGTAATACGTGTTGACGTAGGAGGCACAGCTCCGCCATCTTGCTCTTGGAGTTGATGTTCCATATAAAGCCTTAAATGCCAAAATTCTTTGAAAATAGATTGTACCAAAGACTTTGAGAGTGGCAATTTACTTGTAAGACAGACATATGGACGGATGTAGCATCATTTTGCAAACAGTCTTGCAATCTGGTTTTGGACCAGTAAAAAACTAAATATGAGATTTACTTATATTCTACCCCAAACAAGAGATGATCATAATTTGGCAACCGGATGCATAATCTAATGGAACTAGTTCAAATTATTCTTAGGATGATTAAAATTAAATTGAGTCGTAGATACGCATTTCGAAGATGATCACCAGAATCAATCAATATTATTTTTGTAGTGAAATCATAATTTTCGCAGGTAGTTATTTCTTTCTTTGTATTCGTGGTTTTCGTGTTTCTCCAACCAAGAAATTTAATCTTCGGAAATCAGTGTTGTCCACAAACGAAAATCTGACTGGTTCAATTGATTAGAATCAATATATTCGTTCACAGGATTCTTTTAACGAATTATAATTGATCAAATTTAACACTTACCTTATTATACTCGGTCACCAAATCTTGGAATTTCTGACCCAAATTACCTATCCTGTTTTTCATAATACGCCATACAAGGTAATTTGAGATGGTTCTGAAATAAAAACTTTATCTTTTCTTATCCAACTCCTCGCAAAAGGCTTTAGATTTGTCTTGAGATACATTTTAGTAAGTATAGCTGGTGTACTTCCTTTTAACGGTTAATATTTAACTAGAAAATATGTACCCTTTTTTGCAAACTTAGATACTTTAGAACCCGTTATTGAGAGATTGGTACAATGTATATTTTGTAGACTTGGTAATAAAAATGGATTTTAAGATGTGGTCGAAAAAGAAATACATGTATCACTAAATATTTTAACAAAAATAAAAGAATCTTTATTACCCGGTACATTTTGTTTCACAAAAAATGTTAGGCCCCAGTCACACTGTCACGATTTTAGATCACGATAATCAACGGTTTGAAATTCTGCGATTATTCTTGGATGTCCACAGTCGGTCCGTTGTTTGTTTTTTTTTTAATGCTTTACTTTTGAAAATTTTCATACATACAAAAGAACAAAATACACTCACAAACACATCCTCACACACCACACACACTCTGTGCACCTTTCCCAAAATACCAAATGTTCATAATTACATCTAAAGTGATACTTGAAATTTTTTTTATGTATGACAAATCAAATCAAACATTGCCCATTTACTATACATTTTACTTCTACAATGAAAATTGCTCTCACAATATTTTTCAATTTTCCTGTAATACTTAAAGATGTTAATTGCTTCTGTGAATTTCGGTCGGTCCGTTGTTATTACCTTGACACATCCTAATAAATCGAAACAATCTTGAATGATCCGTAAATCGCTACGACTATTTTGAATTGTCGACGAATATCGGGAAGCTTCTTTGCCTAGTACTGAAACATCGTAGTCGGCCCGTACGGTAATCTTAATGCGTGGAGTTTTGAGATCTATTCTTGTTTGAGGGGAACGATGGCCGTAATACGGTAAATGTACGGCTATTACCGGTAATGACGATCATTTATGAACCGTACGTTGTGACTCAGTTGTTGAAGGACAATGCCAAGCAAAAAATAAGAATAATGTCGACGTACCAATATTTCCACAGGTTGCACAACGGTTTCTGACGGACAGCTACTATGTTTTCACCGTCACATACTGGTGGGGTACAATGTTTTACGGTTTTTAATTCACGTGTTTTTACAAATTTTGCAGAATTACCAAATCCTGTCTCGGTACTGATCTTGATGGATTTGATACTTAACCATCAGCTCAGATTTCGACTTCTGAATTTGCAACTACATTTGAACAGCAAGCACAGATAATACGTCTTGGCAATGCTTTTGAGAACCAGAGGAAAAGGAAGAGAGAGAAAGAGGAGAAAAGTTGGGTCAGACTATGGTTGCCTAGGCGAGATCTTTTGAGGTACTTCAAAAGACTCATGGGTGAACTCAATATCAAATATCTTGTAGCCGAAAAGATTTTTTTAAACAGTGGAGCATATCCTGGGGATCCTTTTCAGAATAGAGGATCGAATTAGAAGAATGATATATATGTACTCTGTTTAGGAAGGCTATCCCTCCTGTGTTAAAGCTGGCTATAACCTTGCCTCGGGAGATAGACATCACTCAATAATGTATGCTTTCAAATTTTCTCACAATACTACTTCCCTCTCAATACGTGAGGTTGTCAAGCTGCCATCGGGGTAGACGCCGAAGAAGTAATTGCTTGCCCAGTAACACCGGGTGAATGGAAGACCATCGAAGATGGATTTAGGATTCGATGGCATTAACTCCTTGTCTACTCGGAACTCTTGCGATGTGCTGTTGAAGAAATTAAAAAAAATATCCATAATGAACCTATTTCTTTGCGTCATTTCCCTCGCCCCTGCCCCAAGATCTGTTCAACGGCTCGTTAATTCGAATGCTGTCACACCGCCCTTTGAGTTCCATTGCAGACTCCATTTTTAACTATGTAGCTTTTATCTACCATACTTGATTTTTTGCCGGTGTCTCTAAAGTCTTTAGACCCTCTGAGTATAGACATGGATTTTCGTTTAGCCTATCTGCTAAGTTTTTTTCATTTTCTTCTGACAACAGAATAGAACATTTGCATGGTAGGAGTCTCTTCGTCACTGAGGAGAGGGAGTGTTTTTTTCATTTTCATCCATATTTCTTGACCCGGTAATTGTACTCTCACCCTTATGATCAGTCCATGTAGGGTTTTCAACAAGAGGAACAGACTTAAATGCTTCTTTTGCTTTTTTATGGTGGAAGAGTGTTCACATAATTATGATTTTTTACATTACCTCTTCTGAAAGGCAGTTTACTGTAACCTTTTGAAATTTGTTGAAGCTGACGCGTTTTAAAAGATCATGTTATTCCCCGAATTCCTTGCAATTTGCATAGAGTGATATTAGGAAAGTCTTCGTTATTCTTTGCGTGTCCGTACGTGCGCCATGAAAAGTTGTAGGATGAACGTATGAATGCATTGGCCGTCCTTGGTGTGACCGTTGCACTGTGAGATTTCAATGCGGAGCACCGCGTTTATCCGTGACGATGTCCGTAGTGAGAGAAAGGTGTTCTCCAATGAAACCGTGTTAAGACCTTCATAAACCCTTTTGTTATCTTAACCGTGTATATTATTTATCGCGCCAAAAAAAAACCGTATCAGCATCACTGTTCCATACGGTCTTTAAAATCTTTAAAAAAGTTGCTACCCATGCCTACTACCCTTGTTTCAGTGCAAATAACTGGCACAAGAAATCTTTTGAATACCTGTTTGAGTATTTCCCCAGGACTTCAAACATTTTTGAGAAGTATGGAATGGCCCTGACAATAATGGTCTCGTCAGGAGGAACATTGACATCAACTCCTTCTATTCTCATCACACGTGTGATAAAGTCATCCCAGTCAAACTTGGCCTACCAAGGAAAAACATCACATTAATGTTTTCTAATTATCCATATGCTGATGATATTTTGAAATTTTATTATACATTATGTGTTTGAAGTAAAAGTCAACTTTCGCATCAATTTTGAAATATAAATTAGTAATTTTTCATTTTTTTTCAGTGACGTACTCCATCTGGTACAGTATAGTTAATCTTCAGTTTCTGCATTTCTATAGGATTGTACAGAGCAAAACTGTCTCTCCTGTCCTCATCTCTCATAGAAATCTGAAGTAAGAAAAGAAGGAATGAAGCAGTTACTGGAAAAGGTAGACATGTCATTTGAAAGACAATGTTGGACATGATTGCACGCCGAAATATGGCCGACTCGGCTTTAAACAATATACAATCAATCAATCAATAGACATGATTGTAATGTTACATTTGCCATGTCAGTTTCCAGTTTGATAACTTCTTCCATATCTCGGTCGGCTGTAGATGGATCAGCATGGAACTCTTCTGCCACAGCTTGCGCAAGCGCTTTGTAAGCTCTCACCATGGTGTCGTTTAAGCCATTAAGATAGTACTTTCGACCAGGCATTCCAAAGTCCGGTTGATCCAACTGCAATATATATCATTTACAAGAATCTTTTATAAGAAAAAGGGATTGTTATGAGGTTTTCTCCAGGCTTATAAAAGGAATGTAATAGGGATGTCAATTTATACTTGTACAACTATAGCTACTCTATTTGCCGACACCGAGTCTTAGCTCACCTGAGCCGAAGGCTCAAGTGAGCTTTTCTGATCACATTTTGTCCGTCGTCCGTCTGTCTGTCCGTCTGTAAACTTTTCACATTTTCGACTGCTTCTCAAGAACCACTGGGCCAATTTTGACCAAACTTGGTACAAAGTATCCTTGGGTGAAGGGGAATTTAAATTGTAAAAATAAAGGACCAAGTCCCCTCACAAGGGGAGATAATCAAGAAAAGACAAAAATAGGGTGGGGTCATTAAAAAACCTTCTTCTCAAGAACCACTGGGCCAGAAAAGCTGAAACTTATATGGAAGCATTCTGGGGTAGTGTTAATTCTAAATTGTAAAAATCATGACCCCCGGGGGAAGGGCGGGGCCACAATTGGGAATCAAATTTTTGCATAGAAATATATAGGAAAAATCTTTGAAAAAAGAACCCCTAACCCTGGAGCAACGCATTTTACAAGTTTGAAAAAGGCGACCTTTCTCATCATAAATGTTTGACTTATACCAAGGAGCAGATTTCAAAGCATTTATTCATTTTCAGAATATACGAGGGGCATTTCAAAAGTCCTGAGAACTGTTTAATAAAAAATTAACCCTTTTACGGAAATTATGAAGTTTGATATCATTGGAAAGATAAGAAAAATATACACATATTGTGACGTCACTTTATAATTTTTATGACGTAATATCTCCAAAAATGACGTCAGAATATAGAATGTTTAGCATACTGAAAACTCGCGTTTTTATTCAAATGTCACAATTTTAAAAGTGCTGCCAAAAGCTTATTTGAAAATATATTTCAAAGAAAATTTCCATTTGCAAAGAAGTAGAGCAGAACAATGATACTGTTTATCAACAATACTATATTTCATTGTTTGGTTTGTTTACTAGCGCGGTTTATGTTCGGTTATGCTATCATCGACATTCATCCAAGGTTTTAAGTTACATGATACGACTGGATTTTTGGTCTTTTATATACTTCTCTATTGTATGAAATAAAACAGTTTCTGTGTAAAACTAAAGAACATTAATGCAGTTTTCAACAAATATATTTTGAGTAACAGTACTCTTACCGTTTACAAATAAAATGTACAAAAGTCTTGCCCCGGTTCATACTTCATGTAAGAAGTCACGAAATGAGATGAAATGGGTTGGTGGGTGGGGCAATTGTCCAAGACAGTGCTTCTGATAGAGTCAGCGGCATTTGTCCAAGACAGACCTTCTGGTAGAGTCAGCAGCATTGAGCAGCATTTCTCCAAGACAGACCTTCTGGTAGAGTCAGCGGCATTTAGCGGCATTTGTCCAACACAGACCTTCTGGTAGAGTCAGCGGCATTAAGCGGCATTTGTCCAAGACAGACCTTCTGGTAGAGTCAGCGGCATTTCTCCAAGACACACCTTCTGGCAGAGTCAGCGGCATTTAGCGGCATTTGTCCAACACAGACCTTCTGGTAGAGTCAGCGGCATTTAGCCGCATTTCTCCAAAACAGACCTTCTGGTAGAGTCAGCGGCATTTAGCGGCATTTCTCCAAGACACACCTTCTGGTAGAGTCAGCGGCATTTAGCGGCATTTGTCCAACACAGACCTTCTGGTAGAGTCAGCGGCATTTAGCGGCATTTCTCCAAAACAGACCTTCTGGTAGAGTCAGCGGCATTTAGCGGCATTTGTCCAAGACAGACCTTCTGGTAGAGTCAGCGGCATTTAGCGGCACTTCTCCAAGACCTTCTGGTAGAGTCAGCGGCATTTAGCGGCATTTCTCCAAAACAGACCTTCTGGTAGAGTCAGCAGCATTTAGCGGCATTTCTCAAAGACAGTGCTTCTGACAACATTTAGAGAATTTGTTTAACAAGATTGAGTGCTTTAATTCCTTTCTCCTTTATTTTCAGTAAATTCCTTCATCTTGAAAAAGATGTAGGACTCAGGAATAAACAAGTCCATAAATACTGTTTTGTATAGATCATAGATAAAACAATCTTAATTACAGTTTAATCTGTTGTTTTTCCATGGATTTACTGATATACAGTAATTAATGGAGAGACGGTTTACACTTTTATGTATGAGAGATACTTAAATAGTATAATATTTGTTTTTCCTTAATGGCAGGGACTTGCTCAATTAGTAATACATGTATTTATTTTTTTTTTTTCATTTGGTTTGATGGTATTTCCAGTACTATTCAAAAAACATTACCCCGGTAATTAAATATCAGTTTAACTTGTACAAAGAGCTCTTTGTTAGTATCTTTGAAAATAATTCAATTAACAGCTTTATCTTGGTCAACACTAGCCATGAGTATCATGCTGATTAGCAATTTGCAGTTATTGATATCTTGCAGTCAGATACAGACAAAATTACCACCAATATAACAAAACAGGAGATGATTAGGGAAAAGGTGTTAAACATCTGGCTTCATGCATTTGATATTGCTCAATTATGTGATTATGACTATTAAATTTGAAGTACCCCATGTATAACATATTAATTATAAGTTATATTTATGAAAATATGTCAAATAAAATACTAAATAAAGAAAATAATGTAATTACTCCATAAATTACAGTAACAGAAGAAGCTTTAATGTTTCAATATTATCTCATTATAAGTAGCTGTGTCTTAATTTATTCAACAAATAAACCCTATGAGCATAGTATGCGACTGTGTTAAACTATTTCTATCGATAAAGTTAGAAAGAAAAGACTGTCAGAAGCACACCATGCAAAGTTGAAATTATTTTTTTCAAGACCGATTTGTAAAAATCCAGTAAAGGATTCTCTACAAAAACTTTCATGCGCTGATTTTAGAGGAATACATTGTCTATTGATTTAATCATGCAGCTTATTCCGTAAAAGATATAAAACTGGGATAGGTTAACATTTTACAATCATGCAGCTTAGGCCATATAATAATTCAATAAATTGCTAGATTCCCATCCAATTTTTTTTTTAAAAATCAAGGCTGGCGGCCGGCTTTTATTTTATACTTTTTATTTTTTCAATTTCAAAGATTTTTATTGACCTGGTCATTCGGTGTAATTTTATCTACAATACCTGAATAAAGGTCATAGTAAAGGTTCAATTATCTCCTACTTCACATCATCACCAATCTTTTTCAACCAATGACCCTTGTTTAAAATATAGCGCCTATACGTATTACAGCAATTACTATCTTTTCAGTCGTTAAAATCATATCAACTTTCGCAAAATTTAAAACGAAAGTAGAATGGTAGATGGATACCGATCCCGATGAGAATTAAGACGAAGAAAAAAATCGAGGCGGGGATATAAATTCAGGGTGGGCAGGGATGAGAATCTAGAAATATTTTTATCATGGCCAATATTCAGTAAAAGATATAAAATTCGGATAGGTTAAAATTCTGTAATCATGCAGCTTATTCCGTAAAAGATATAAAATGCAGCTTATTCCATAAAAGATATAAAACTAGGATAGGTTAACATTTTATACTGATGCAGCTTATTCCGTAAAAGATAGGTTAGCAATTTGTAATCATGCAGCTTATTCCGTAAAACATATAAAATCAGCTTATTCCGTAACAGATATAAAATTGGGATACATTTTATAATCATGCAGCTTATTCCGTAAAACATATAAAATGCAGCTTATTCCGTAAAAGATATAAAATTGGGATACATTTTATAATCATGCAGCTTATTCCATAAAAGATTTAAAATGCAGCTTATTCCATAAAAGATATAAAAATGGGATAGGTTAACATTTTATAACCATGCAGCTTATTCCGTAAAAGATACAAAATGCAGCTTATTCCGTAAAAAAGATATAAGATGCAGCTTATTCCGTAAAAGATATAAAACTGGGATAAGTTAGCAATTTGTAATCATGCAGCTTATTCCGTAAAAGATATAAAATTGGGATACATTTTATAATCATGCAGCTTATTCCGTAAAAGATTTAAAATGCAGCTTATTCCGTGAAAGATATAAAACTGGAATAGGTGAACATTTTAAAATCATGCAGTTTATTCCATAAAAGATATAAAATGCAGCTTATTCCGTGAAAGATATGAAACTGGGATATGTTAACATTTTATTATCATGCAGTTTATTTCGTAAATTTTTTTTATTAAATGCAGCTTATTCCATAAAAGATATAAAAATGGGATGGGTTAACATTTTATAACCATGCAGCTTATTCCGTAAAAGATTTAAATGCAGCTTATTAGTCAGTGGATCAATTTAGTATGTAAATTCTAACATTTAATCATTCATGAAATTTCCAGAGTTATAACCCGCAAATCAAGTTCATATCAATTTCGGGAAATTGAAACAGTATGGTATTTGGTTTTTCATTTATACAGCCAGCAAACATTTCCAGTAGTGATAATATACAATTTATTTCACATGAAACGCTTCATACCGCTTCACACAACTTACTAGCTAAGTATATTAATTCAATTTTCAATCAAAACTCATAAGAATGACTTTTAACAATATTGGTGTAAACTATCTTTTAATTTTACTTCCCTAAGCAGGTAAGCATGACCTACGATCATTCTCATAGAGAATGCTGCTGACTCTACCAGAGGGTCTGTGTTGGACAAATGCCGCTAAATGCTGCTGACTCTAGCAGAGGGTCTGTCTTGGACAAATGCTGCTGACTATACCAGAGGGTCTGTCTTGGACAAATGCCACTAAATGCCGCTGACTCTACCAGAGGGTCTGTGTTGGACAAATGCCGCTAAATGCCGCTGACTCTACCAGAGAGTCTGTGTTGGACAAATGCCGCTTAATGCCGCTGACTCTACCAGAAGGTCTGTGTTGAACAAATGCCGCTAAATGCCGCTGACTCTACCAGAGGGTCTGTGTTGGACAAATGCCGCTAAATGCCGCTGACTCTACCAGAGGGTGTGTCTTGGAGAAATGCCGCTAAATGCCGCTGACTCTACCAGAAGGTCTCTCTTGGAGAAATGCCGCTGACTCTACCAGAAGGTCTTTTTGGAGAAATGTCGCTAAATGCCGCTGACTCTACCAGAAGGTCTGTCTTGGACAAATGCCGCTAAATGCCGCTGACTCTACCAGAAGGTGTGTCTTGGAGAAATGTCGCTAAATGCCGCTGACTCTACCAGAAGGTCTGTTTTGGAGAAATGCCGCTTAATGCCGCTGACTCTACCAGAAGGTCTGTGTTGGACAAATGCCGCTAAATGCCGCTGACTCTACCAGAAGGTGTGTCTTGGAGAAATGCCGCTGACTCTACCAGAAGGTCTGTTTTGGAGAAATGCCGCTAAATGCCGCTGACTCTACCAGAAGGTCTGTGTTGGACAAATGCCGCTAAATGCCGCTGACTCTACCAGAAGGTCTGTGTTGGACAAATGCCGCTAAATGCCGCTGACTCTACCAGAAGGTGTGTCTTGGAGAAATGCCGCTAAATGCCGCTGACTCTACCAGAAGGTCTGTTTTGGAGAAATGCCGCTAAATGCCGCTGACTCTACCTGAAGGTCTGTGTTGGACAAATGCCGCTAAATGCCGCTGACTCTACCAGAAGGTCTGTCTTGGAAAAATGCCGCTAAATGCCGCTGACTCTACCAGAAGGTCTGTTTTGGAGAAATGCCGCTAAATGCCGCTGACTCTACCAGAAGGTCTGTGTTGGACAAATACCGCTAAATGCCGCTGACTCTACCAGAAGGTGTGTCTTGGAGAAATGCCGCTAAATGCCGCTGACTCTACCAGAAGGTCTGTTTTGGAGAAATGCCGCTAAATGCCGCTGACTCTACCAGAAGGTCTGTGTTGGACAAATGCCGCTAAATGCCGCTGACTCTGCCAGAAGGTGTGTCTTGGAGAAATGCCGCTGACTCTACCAGAAGGTCTGTCTTGGACAAATGCCGCTTAATGCCGCTGACTCTACCAGAAGGTCTGTCCTGGTATGATGAAGTTGGCTATGATTTTCGTGACTTCTTACATGAAGGAATAGCCTCTTGCCCCTGACTTGTTTCTGTGCGTAGTTTTTCTCATTAATTCAACTCCGGCGCCCCAAAACTCAGTATTGCTTTTTACTTTTGACTCCAAAAAAGTTTTATAAGTTACATAGACATGTAAATTCTTATTTAATTTCCATGAATTAATTTTTGCGAATATGTGGAGGTACGGCGGGGTTACAACTGCGCCCGCGCCATTTTGGATTTTACGAGAAAATATAGGGCACACCAATCTTAACTTCTCTTGAGCTCTCATCGATCCCACAAATATGGTTAAAACACCTGACGAATTGATGCCATAGAATTTATTAACACGATCGTCTATTTTTCTTTGATTGCCAACTTTGCCTTATTCTCACAGTTGGGTCTGTTTTACGCAATATTTTGAGCAAGATTCGATAAAAGCATTCGATGTTTGACAATCGCTTAAACCATCTCAGAACAAGAAGATCTCTGAAATAGACCACCATATGATAGATTGTAGTCTATGTAAAGATTCTGCCAACTGTCATTTACGTCCGATAGCTTGCACCCAAGTAATGAGCAAAAGTTGTTTTTAAAATTTTTCATTGATGAAATTGTGTCTTTTGTTACGTCATTTTTATGGCCAGTATTGAAAGTATGCGGAAGTATGACGTCATTTTCAGAGTTATAACGTCATAAAAATTATAAAGTGACGTCACAATATGTGTGTATTTTTCTGTTCTTTCGAATGATATCAAACTCAATAATTTCCGTAAAACGGTTATCTTTTTATTAAACAGTTCTCAGGACTTTTGAAATGCCCCTCGTAATTAGAGCCCTCCTTCTATAATACCCCTGACCCAAGGGCCTTGATATTCACAATTTTGGAAGAAGAATTGTTGTTCATTATATAGGTAGTTCATCTGCTTTTTTACATAGAAATATATAGGAAAAATCTTCTTCTCAAGAACCACTGGGCCAGAAATCTGAAACTTATGTGGAAGCATCCTAGGGTAGTGTAGATTCTAAATTGTTCAAATCATGACCCCCGGGGGAAGGGCGGGGCCACAATGGAGAATCAAATTTTTACATAGAAATATATAGGAAAAATCTTTGAAAATCTTCTTCTCAAGAACCACTGGGCCAGAAAAGCTGGAACTTACATGGAAGCATCCTGGGGTAGTGTAGATTCTAAATTGTTCAAATCATGACCCCCGGGGGAAGGGCGGGGCCACAATGGAGAATCAAATTTTTGCATAGAAATATATAGGAAATATCTTTGAAAAAAGAACCCCCTAACCCTGGAGCAACGCATTTTACAAGTTTGAAAAAGGCGACCTTTCTCATCATAAATGTTTGACTTATACCAAGGAGCAGATTTCAAAGCATTTATTCATTTTCAGAATATAATTAGAGCCCTCCTTCTATAATACCCTTGACCCAAGGGCCTTGATATTCACAATTTTGGAAGAAGAATTGTTGTTCATTATATAGGTAGTTCATCTGCTTAATACCCAGGAACATAGGAGATTTTCAAAGAGTCATTTTCACTATATAATCAATAGAGCCCCGTCCTAACATTAGAACTTCTGACCTGTCTGGGTCCATGAAATTCAGAATTTTTGAAGAGGCATTATAGCCCCGCCCTAACACTAGAAACCCTGACCCTGGGTCGTTGAAATTTACAATTTTGAAGAGGCATTCTTCATCATTGTATCTATGTAAAAAGTTAGTTTGTTTGATACCTAGGAGCAGAAAAGATTTTTTTTTTCAAAGAAATAATGCATTTTCACCATAAAATCGATATAGCCCAGCCCTAGCACCAGAACCCTAACCCTAGTTCCATGAAATTCACAATTTCAGAAGAGACATCCTTTCTCAGCATAAATATGTATGTAGTTAGTTACCAGGTAACTCAAGAGCAGAGAAGGTTTTTCAAAAAATAAATGCATATTCACTATACAATCAATAAAGCCCCGCCCTAACACCAGAACCTCTGACTCTGGGGCCATGTAATTCACAATTGTAGAAAAGAAACCCTTTCCAATCGTTACTATATATGAAGTTATATTGTTTAATATGAATTAATGCATTTTCACTAATCAATAAAGCCCCGCCCTAACATCAGAACCCCTGACCCTGGGGTCATGATAATCACGATTTTAGAAGAGGCACCCTTTCTCATCATAACTGTGTATGAAGTTATTCTGTTTAATACCCAGGAGCAGAGAAGATTTTCTAAAACCTAATGCATTTTTACTGTATTTTTAATACAGTCCCACCCTAACACCAGAACCACTGACCCAAGGGCCATGAATTTCACAATTTTGGTAGAGGACTCAAGGCTTATTACAATCATACCAACAGTTTGACTGCTTGATGTCCAGGAGTAAAGAAGATTTTTTAAACAAGAATGCATTTTTAGTGGTTTTGGCCCCACCCCTCAAGCCCCAGAAGGGCAGGGACCATGAAATTTATATTTTTTTTCCCTTCACCCATTGATGTTTTATGCCAAAATCATCTCGGTATGTCATGGTGTCTACGTCATACATTCGACGCTGTTTTTCACAAGTCGAAAAGGATCGAGGAGTTGCGATTGATATTTGGACGCGACACAATGTTTGCTTCTGCTACGTCAAGAAAAAAAAGTAACGTAATTTTTTTCGATATCAATTGTACATGTCAATGCATTACAAAGTAAAATGATCAATAATGCTCGTTCAATTGAAATATATAGACAAAAGGGCCGTGTAGTATATACACGCAGCTGTGACCAGATAAAAGCAATCAGGTGTAATGAATGCAAAGGATTTATATACCCCCATGCTAAGAAAGAAAATTAGACAACTAATATGGCGTATGTCTATTTAAGATTCGTGTTCAGCTTTAAGCAATTACATAAGTAAACTCACAAATATGACTCTTGATGATGAGTTTTTGGAATCCGTATACACATACAAGTTAATTAGTGGTTTGTTGTTATAACGAAGGAGATTTAATAAAAGCGTTGTTAAGTTGTACTCCGACTCGTTCCAGTGTCCGCCCGTGTTGTTTCCTAGGACAGGCCAACCACCGAGTTCCTTCAGCAGGCCAAAGGAGGGTTCAATACCACGACTTTCTATGTATGCTGAAGAAGAATAATTTTCATGACTGTATCAAGAATTTTACAGTTTTACAGAGAAATACTACAGTGAAGATTTTTAGGTGTACTTCAAATATGACCAACAAAGCTCCATCGTAGGACCTTTGGGAGACAACATCTTACAATTATAGAATTTTGAAATGCGGAAATTGTCTCAATTCAGTATAAAGTATGCTTGCTTGTTTATTACCTAATAATTAATTAAGAAGATTTTCAAAGGTATGAACTACTGTATTCAGTTCCATTTGACAGACCTATGTTACTGGATATATAAGTGATCTTACTTTGATTGACACACGACTTGTAGAGATTTTTGGCGTGGGTTACAGACTCTGGGTCACTGGGTGATCCGGGCTGCTCCAGTACAACTAAACAATACATGAATACTCCAGTTCTTATAAGTGTACAATGAAAGACATAACATTTATATAACCTGAAAATAATTGTACGTCTTTTTTATTTCAGAATGTTCCATATTTTGATTTGAACATGAAATTTTGAGTGGGATTTTAAGAAAGAAAAATATCTTTCAGGCCCATTAATACATTGTTTTTATGCATGTAGGAAATTAAGACTCAGTATCTTCAATGGAAAGGCATTTATAATTATTTTTGTCACGTTAATTCAAGATTTGCCCCAATACATCAAGTTTAGATAAAGTTACTGGGGTATCCAGTTATAGTACAAATGATTTAGAAGTTTTTTTTTATGTATGACCTATTTTACTTATTTGATCTGGGTCATTTATATAACCTGAAAAAAATTGTACGTCTTTTTTTAGTTCAGAATGTTCCATATTTTGATTTGAACATGAAATTTTGAAGGATTTTAAGAAAGAAATATCTTTCAGGCCCAATAATACATTGTTTTTATGCATGCAGAAAGTTAAGACTCAGTATCCTCAGTGGAAAGACATTTATAATTATTTTTTGTCCCGTTAATATAAGATTTGCCCTAATACATCAAGTTTAGATTAAGTTATCCAGTTATAGTACAAATGATTTAGAAGTTTTTTTTATGTACTTATTTGATCTGGATCATTTGAGCCTATGTTTCAATGTTATTGCATTAGGTATCATAAACCATGCTTCAAGAAAAAGAAACATCGTTTGTAACACGAATCTGGTCGGTGTCATTTTTGCTGATAACCTTTTGGCCCTTTCTTAGCGGTGCTTACTTTGCCTACTGTGTACTTATGCTGACCTCGGGTATATCATTTTGGGTTCAGACAGAGGCATAGACCTACTTTTCATGATGACTTCTACGTCTTCACGAACAACACCAAACATGTCGTAGCTGGACCGATCTTCTGGAATGACATTCTTCTTCATCCAGGTTCCGCAAGCAAACTCGTAAAAGTTGTTACACGGTTCAACTTCAGTGTTTAAAGAGCTGAGAAGTCGTGAGGCTAAAACAGGTGTGAGAAACAGGTCATGTTTCTAAAAGTTTCATCATTAGATGTATATTCAAATCAAATAAATCATAGTCAATTCCGTCAAACCTGCTGTGGCCCTTTTCACAAAAACACTTAAGACTAAGATAAAAAATTTCACAATTCTGTAAGATTTTGTTTAATAGAGATATTCATTTTTTTTCTAAGATGTTATGTACAATGATGTGTAAATGATGCAGAAGTAAGAGTTTTTGTGATCTACTACTACGTAGATGCTCGTTTTTTTTTTGTCTTAGTCGTAAGGTTTTTTGTGAAAAGGGCCACTGAGTTGCACAGTGATAATAAATAGTATTCACAGACAACTGAAACATATTTACAACTACTAGTGGATAGTTAAATTTATTACATGTCTCTTGAGTAGATAATGTGTATTGCTTACACGTTGAACGGAATCTGTTGGAATATAAATTTTATCTACTGTAAATAAATCAAAGCACTGGCAACAACAACTGTTATATTGCTTTATAATTCTACTTTTAGTCATTTATAGAGACATCGAGAGGCATGTTATGACACCACGAGTAGCCTGAGACGAAGGCAGGGTACACAATAGATTGTACCTTTGTCAATTCTATTTTCGTACCATTGGAACATTTTTCTAAAACTTCATTATTTGCCATAGAGATACTTTACAATTTGTTAAATATTTATATTAGAATCCAAATACTGCGACTCATTTCGACAGAAAGCTGCTTCAAAATTATATTTTGCTTATTCGTGTCATTGCTTTCTTTTAGTATGATTGTATAATTCCTGAAAGTGCCAAGCAAGGGTTAGGTAGAAAATGATTTGATACCGAAATTACCATTTTTTAATTTAAATTTAATACTTACCGGCTATCGAACATTCGGGTGTGAGACAAATGTTATCTGAAAATTAAAAGAAAATGTTATAAAATAATCGCTGACGTATGTACTGCCATTCTTGTCTAATTAAATTGATATAGTTGTTAATAGATTTTACATGTATTAAATAGTAAACAATATATTACAGGAAAACTTTTTCAGCCGATACTGATGAAAATATCCAGCAGATACAAAATATTTTTCACGTGCGTTTAGAAGTTCATTAGGTGGGCTTTAGCTAGGACACAAGACTCATTATTTAATACGAGTATAGAACAGAACAGAACAGAACATTTTATTTCTAATTTAGAGCCCATAACAGACAAGTATGAAATTGTTACAATAATTAAGGAAAAGATAAGCCAATGAATAGCAAAACAATTATACAATTAGCAGTTGACATAAATCATTTCAACAATAATCCTGTCTAAACGGAATACATCAAATATGCATGTATGTGTAAAAGACTAATGGTACTATAACATGTTATCATTTATAAATTTGCCCACAAAATTAAGAGTTTCCTTATCTTCTGTATTGAGTAACCAATAAAGTTTTTGTTCATCGTCTAAAGCTGAAAATAGTGGAAATTTATGATTAATTAACTGAAATATTTCTTTTCTTTGATGATCAAATTTTTTACATGTTATTAAAAAATGAGTTTCATCATCTATGTTGTTAGAATTACATCTATTACATAATCGATCTTCTCGAGGAATATTGGTAAATCTTCCCACTTCAATTTGTAATCTGTGACAGGAAATTCTTAATTTACATAAAGATTTTCTGTGATGAAAATTTTTAACAACTGATAAATAATTCTCATAACCCCAATTTTGTTTGAGTTTCACATATGTGGATAATTTGCCATCGGTGTAACTTTTATAACTTGTATACCATTTCTTCACATAATAATCTAATAAAATTTTATGACAAAATGACTTAAATTTATATTTCCCATAACAAATAACTTCATCTTTAATATTCAGTAATTTTCTTAATTTCTGTATAAATGCAAACCATGAGTTCTTTCCATTCACAAAAAGCTTTTTACTACATTCATATGCATCTTTAAGTAAAGGAAATTCTATGGACAAATTCTCAAATCTATACCAACTTTTAATCAGTAACCTGGCAATATCATAATGCAGGGGGAACCTTCCCAATTCAGACAGTACTGCAAAATTTGTGCTTTTCTTATGAACGCCGAGAATATATTTACAGAATTTAAGGTGTATTCTTTCACAGGGTAGATTTTTAAAGCAGTCTTCAACTGTTAAATTTTGGCAGTTTAGGAATTTTTTAGTATTTATATTACTTGCACCCCACACCTCTGCATTATACAAAAGAATTGGTTTAATGGTAGAGTCAAATACATGTATACTGGTTTTAATCCCAGGGTTCAAATCAATAAAATCCTTTCTTAATTTATAATATGCTTTTAATGCTTTTTTATAAAGCTCTAATCTTGCTACATGAAAGCTTCCAGATACACTTAGGTGGACTCCAAGATATTTGTACCTGGGCACACATTCTATCATATTATTTTGAAACATTAGTTTTTGTGTAATATTACGACCAGCCTTATTAAAGATCATGACTTTTGTTTTTTGAATGTTTACCTTTAAACACCAATCAGAGCAATACTTTTCAAGTTTAGCGAGTCTTGCTTGTATACCTTTAGCTGATGAGGATAAAATAACAATGTCATCTGCATACATTAAACAATTAACAGTTTGTGTCTGAAGCGATACTTCATCAATACATGAATCTAAATATGAAGGAAAGTCATTGATAAATATTTTAAATAAGGAGGGGCTCAAATTATCCCCTTGACGGACGCCTATAGCTATTTGAAATGGATCTGAGAAGAATCTCCCAATTTTCACACATGCTTGACTATTTTTATATATATTACTAATGATATTATAAAATTTAGATCCAACATTCATGTCAAGTAATTTTAGCTTTAATCCTGTATGTATAACACTGTCAAAAGCTTTATGAAAGTCAACAAAACATGCATAGAGTCTTCCTTCTTTTGTGCTACAGTATTTATCAATTAGACATTTTAGAACAAATAGGTGATCAGATGTTCGTGCATTTTTGGTAAAACCCATTTGAGATTGATGAATTAAATTATGTTCTTGAAGAAATTTATCTAGTCTAAAGTTCAAAACACTGTTGAATAACTTGCCAAGAGTGCTGGTAATTGTGATACCCCTATAATTTGAAGGATTGTTTGGATCATCAGACTTAAAAATTGGACTTATGTACCCATTACTCCAAGCTTGAGGATAAAAACCATATGTGAAACAGCTATTAAAAAGTTTATGTATACAGGGAAGTAAATAAGATTGACTATGCTTTAACATTTCATTAGATATCAAATCAAGTCCCTTGGCTTTTCCATATTTTAAATTTGCTATTGCATCAACAATTTCTTTATTTGTAATCATATAATCTAATTCATTAAAGGATGGGTTATTCTCCATGTCAGCCAAAATTAAATCTATCTCTTGTATCCTAGAATTAAAAGAGTTATCACACACAGAGTGAAGATTGCGAAAATGATTAACCCATGTTTCAGGATCTATGTTTGCTGCAGAATTATCTTTATTATCATCCTTTAGGTCATTGATTAATTTCCAATATTGTTTTGGTTGTTTATTTTGAAGTGCTTCAAGTTGATTTAGAATAGAGTTTTGGAAATTTTTACGCTTAAATTTTCTTAATTTATTGTACTCTCTATAAAGTTTATAGTGATGATTCTTAACAAGTGGATTTTTAGGAAACATGCTATAAATTTTTCCATGTGCAATCAGTCTACAGCGCATTGTTTGCAAGTCTGAATCAAACCACTTTTTATTTTTTTGCTTTTTAACATTCTTTCTTTTATGACTTGTCCTATTTAATGACATGTTAGCAGCAGTTATGATTATATCATTGAATTCTTCAGCCTTTTTCTCAATATCAGTAGATGTAGCTTCTGTAATAAAGGAATCTAAAAAAGACTTGATTTTTTCTTGTATCTTATCGGAACTTAGAGCCAATTGAAATTTAATAGGGGAATCATCATTCCATTTAAAATTTTGAGGGGCAGGGTGCAAGGTTTTGGTATTAGTAACATTTGAACTCTCCTGAAACTTTGCTAGAACTTCCCATGATATTTTACAGTGACAATCAGAAAGAGTAGGAATAAAACTAGATACCCTGAAATATAAAATTTGTTTAACTAAGTTTTCACTTGCAACAAGGTAGTCTACTGTGCTTTGACCATGCGTGTTAAAACATGTGTAATCACCAAAAAAATCCCCAATGCATCTACCATTTATAATTCTCATCTGATTACTAATACAAAAATCGATCAATTCTTTTCCTCTTTCATTTAAAATGACATCACGGTTACTACGTTTACAAAAATCATTATCAACCTTGTAAGTTTTATACAGAGGAAGGTACCTTACATCATCATGTACAATAAAATCATCTGATGCAGCAGTGCGTGCATTCATATCCCCACAGATCATTATTTCCCCCTTAGTCTTAAATTTATAAACATCTTTCTCAATAATTTCAATAACATCATAATTTAACTTCTGAAAGTAGGTTGAATTTGAGGGTGGAATATAACATGCACAAAGATAAATGTCCTTTTGAAGATTAAAAAACTGTTTTTCAATTTTTATCCATTGAAAATCTTTCTGGGTACCTGGTAACAACTTGATATGTTCCTTAAAACAATTTCTACGAAAAATGCCAATTCCCCCATAAAATCTTCCATTTGCAGACATGTCCCTACATACAGGGAAGTATGAAAAACCATCAATAAAAAGATTTGTATTATACCCAACATGTGTTTCACCTAATATAATAAGATCATAGTTTTTTACCTCCTTCAAAAATAATTCATCATTTAGCTTATTCTCACCTTGTGTAAAAATTCCTCCAACATTCCAGTAACAAATTTTTATGCTGTGTTTATACATATACTTGTCCATATTGGACTCTTAATTGTATACTACTGAATAAAGAATTATACAAATAAAGAAAATTAACTAAGTTATATAAATTCAAAGATTCTCTAGTTTCAGATGTAAAACAAGTTTTGATTTACAATTTCAAATATTTATCACCATTGTGTTGATGGCCCTTTCTATGTTCAGCGAAAATAGTTTGGACTTTGTTTAAATTTACGGTTATAACTATTGCCCTGGTATCCATAATTCCAGCTCGGGTTGCCCTTGTAGTAATGGTCCCCGTTATTCGACTGGAAATGCTTTTCCTGGTTGTAGTTGAATCTGTTTTGATATTTATTCGCATAACCCTTAGAGACGGTGCTTATCTTTAATACGGTGTGAATTGCTCTCTTCATGTTGGACGCTAGTATGGATGTTCCCTTTGGAGACAGGTGAAATTTGTCCTTGGGATTCAGTAACTGAATTGTGGGTAGATATCCGTGCCACATGTTTTCGTTGTCAGAAATATGAACTCCAGGATACTCCATGTAGTCCCTCTTTATGATTCCATCCAGAATCTCACAGTTTACCTTGTGCAAGGAGTTGTCTTCTCTTGGAGTGGTTAGAGATATGATGGTGTTGACATCTTTCCACTTCTTTTTAATGACCTCAACCACATCCTTCAGTTTCTCGGCGCATTCTTCGGGACTAACATTCCTAACATCATTTGTTAAAGGGTGGAGGACTACTACATCAGGTAAGCAAGAAGAATTCATAATAACATCCTTTGTTTCATCAAGAGTATATGCTGTAACTTTAGTAACGTTTACATCAGACGTAAGTTTATCCTCTTTAATGCCATTCACATTGGAAGTACCTATCAATAACGCCATTGGTTTTCGATTCCTCTCAGCATTGGTTTCCAAATCTTTCGCCCTGCTGGTTTCAATGTCCTTTTCGCTGCTTGTGAACATTCTGGAGAGCTGCGATTTTAGGGACAAAATTTCATTGCAGTAGTCGTCAGCTTTTTTTCTGAGTGATCTATTATCATCCATGAGCTGATCA